ATGAATTTGCCTGAAACAAGTTGAAATTAGTGCCAACAAATGTGGAATTAGCTGAAAAAGCTAAAATTAGCATAAAAACAGCTAATAGTATTAGCTCCAGAGCTAATATATCATTAGCTTGAGATCCAGAACTAATATGCCGTTAGCTCAAAAGCTAATAGTGTTAGCTCCTGTAGTGAACTCGGCCTCCGGTCAAACCTGTCTCTGAAGACCTTCATGGGACAGGAACTGTTATTTCATTGATTTGAATCCAGAAATACAAATTAGCTCATCCAGAGACTTTCTAATTGTATCCTGAACTAATCAATTGAAAGAACACTCTTTTTCATATTATCATTACTATTTTACAATATCTTGATAATCAAAAGTGTGTTTAGTTCATATCATTTTAAATGTTGAAATGAACCACTCATTTTAAATCAACTGTGAAACAGTATTAATGATTTTTTAATCCTCATTCAAAGTAGAAATCAAGTTAAATGTCTATGTTACTAAGTAATTATGCATTTTTGATCTTCTGTCTGAAATGAGAGAGTGATGTTGGTCAAAAGTCGGAGACAGTCGCAAACAAGTTTATTGGAACGAACTGTCATGTTTTTAAACCTCTCAGACAGAAACAAGAAAACTGGCACCTGTAGTTTTTCTCTCTTCGTCAAAACATTTCTCTGTCTGTTTCTTAACATCTCCGCTGTTTTTCTGACTTGTAACGACCCTCTGACGTCACTAAAACCACACCCCTGTTGGTTCTTTCAACCAATCAGGACTTCCTAAAAGTGACCGGAAGCAGAACTCTTTAAAAGTCGACTCTTCCTAGTTCCAGTAGTTCGGAGGGAGAGTTCTAGTTGGAAAAGTTCAGTGCCTGGAGAAAGTTCCAGTGCCAGGAGAAAGTTCTGAAGTGCTGGAGTTCGTTGGGAGTTCTTCCGAGTCTAGTTGGGATTATGGAGCCTTCCACATCTGAGTGGAACCGCTGACGGACTCACAGCTCATGTGAGTCCACCCGGGAGGTGAGTGTGTTGTTGACCGGAGTACCGTCACTACTTCGGACGATTCTCAGCCATCCTAAGGAGACGCTGAAAGGTAGCGTTGAAATGGAACTCCGTACCGGAGCTGACCTATCTTCTGCAAAGGTAACGAGTCGCTTCACTACCGAGTGTACCAGGGCTGAGCTGGGGTCAGATGAAGGGTGCCATTCCTCGTCAACACACTTTCCCTCATCCATTTTTTCTCTCCATTCAAACTCCTTCCTTTCCCATCTTTAAATTTCTGTCTTGCCAGTAATTAATCCAGATATCTTCAGAAATGTCTGTTGTTTTTATTAAGTAAAACGTGCCAAGTTTTATTAATCAGAGCCGATCATAATCAAGTGTACAATGTTTTGATGTTAAATTTTGATTCTGTTAATAAATGACCACATTCATTTTGATGGGTCAAAGAAAATTAACGTCTCATGTCACTGATTAAACCATCTCCAACACAGTACCTCTGTCACATATCTGTCAAGTAGCTCGAAAAAGTGAGAACCCATTATTAAAAAATTGACTGTAGTGGAGCTCTTAAGCTAACTGAAGCTAACCTAGCCTTAGCATACTACACTCCAGAGCAGGATACACCTGGGACAGGTCATAAGTCCATCACAGGGCCACGACATACGAGACAGCCATTCACTCTCAGGCCCATTTCCATGGACACGGTGGGGGAAACGTAGTTTATTTTTTTCGGATATTGATTCGAGGAAAAAAATCCATGTTGATACGGTGCACATTTGGTGTTTAAATGTAAATGCAGACACCCCTCCCCCCCCATCTGTAGTTGCCATGCCAGGTGCTATGAAGTTTGTACATTTACCTAATGTTGCACGTTGCCTGGGACAGCTGTCTGTTAGGACTTTCCTCTGGACTGAAACTTAAAGCTGGATTTTGGATACAAATTGATGGATTTGAAGCCAAGCAGAACCACTTTGTCTAACAGCAAGGCACTGGTCACTGAGCGCATAAATACGTAGACGTCTCATTGAGCGCTGAATTGTACATCGACGTCCACGCAGTTTTAAATGTGGTGGAACAGCCGGTCAATTAATACAAAGAAATGGACTGAACTTCATAAAGCACCTTTCTACAAAGTGTTTTTGAAGTTGGTGCCTGTCTTTCATTCACAGTACATTGTATTAGATTGATTGGTGACTCTAAATTGTCTCTAGGTGTGAGTGAGAGAGTGAATGGTTGTTTTGTCTCGTTTGTCTCTGTGTGTCCCTGTGATGGACTGGAGACCTGTCCAGGATGTCCCCCGCCCCTCGTACAGTGATTGCTGGACATGGGCACTGGCGACCCGTGACCCAAAAATGGAAGAAGCGGGTAAAAGATAATGGATGGATTTTTCAGCTGAGTTAATTTTAATTAACGGATTATTTAATTGTCATTAAAATGAAAACTGGATTTCATGATAAAGTCGGCACCTTTTATTATTTATTTTAAATCTTTACTGATTAAAAAAAAAAAATTTATACATTAAATGTTTTTTTTTTAATCATTTCCACCCTCCATCCCAGACCCATCCCGGTCCGCCCCTGTCTGCCGGGGCTCAGTGGCTCGGGGTCTGGCCTTTGGGAACTCACGAGTCCAGGGCTCGGGGGCTGGCCTCGCACGCTTCTTTGTGTCGGCAGCTCGTATGATCCTCTGCAGTGACTAGCTCGCTCTGAATTTTGTTGTCAATCACTAAACACAGAAAACACCTAGACTTCAGCATTAGACCACGGTGTTGTCATTATTGTTTTTAAAATCTTAAAAATAGGTCCAGCTGCTGCTCTGAGTTCAAGTAATTGCAAATGGCGGATCATTGTTTTGAGAAGTTTCTGAAAGATCCAGTGACTCCACCCCCTGACTGATCAGTGACCAACAGTGTTCTGATGTTACGTTTTGGTGCCGGCTCGGCTCGCTTGGTACACCAGAGAATAATGAAAAAGGTGCCGGTTCCACGTAAAATTGCTAGTGGAAAAAGCCTTGGAACTGTACCGAGCTGAGTCGAACCGTGCTGAAGAGGAGCTATGGAAAAGGGACAATAGTCACAGGAGTTGAACGAGGGCCCAGCTTGCTTCTTGACAGACAGATGAAAGGGAGGGTAAGTTTGAGGGGTTCTCTCCAGGGAGATTTTTTCCTGTATATGACAGTGGCAGGTGGTTTCGGCTCCTCAGGAAGCAGCGGCAATCATCCTGTGAAATGATTAAGTTAACCATTTTCTGTTCATTTTAAGTAAAATCGTATTTCATGTCGTGTCAATGTTCGCACCATTGTTGTTCATGTATCAGTTTGTTTTTTTATCAAATTTGACAGCATTAATATTTGAATTTCCTCAAACAGGGAGGATTGAAGTAGAAATTACATCATCGGTCAACCTACATAGATTGAAACAAAGACGATGTGAAGTCTGGGTTGAGGCCTTGGCCCAGTACGTCCTCTCTGACTGTGTGCACGAGTGACAAGTAAATGCTGTCGTGGCACAAAGGATCAGAATAGTAGAACATCCTTGTGGAAATCTGTGAGGAGTTTTTTATTGGATTCTGCTGCCGTTTGACGGAGTCATCTGTTTTTTAATGTAGGAAATAAAACCAAAAGACAGAGTTCATTACTGGGAGATCTTTATTAATGAATTCATCATACACACTCCAGGAATAGAAGAAATACATTTTTTCTTCTAAAAATACATTTTTCACTTCTTTTCACTGCAGTCACTCTTCACCGACTACATCAAAAGTCTCAGAGGACAGGAAATGAAGAAACTAGGTGCAGGTGAGGGAGACCGTTTTAACCTGATAAAAATCCTATGACATATGCTGCGATCCTAAATAAAATAGTAATTTACAACATTTAATCACATGTTGGATCCAGATGCTGTATTGACGCTTCTGTGGGTTAGTTTAATTTGTGTAAAGGATGTGGGCAAGCAGACCCACAGCTAGGGCCACACCACAGAGGAAGTTTAAAGGATTGGAAAATGCATCCCAACAACAAAATTCTGAAACTGCATCAATAAACTGTTCAGAAAGTGAAATAAAGTGATAGTTCAGATGTTTTAATTGGTGGGTTTGTGAAAACTCATCATGGTCAGTTTCTAAAATGCTACTTTGCTACCTTGCACTAAGTTCATCATAACTAACCTGTTTCTACGTGCACGTGTGCTTTTACCGCTGAATGGAATAGAGTCTGCTCATTTAGACTGATCTGTTTAAACTGAGTTTGGGTTTAATCAGAACTAAGTTCAATGCTGTTTCTATCCTACATTACTGTGTGTCTCAGCTACTTCAAGATGTTCTGTCAATTTGATTATTGAGGATTCTTTTACTAATTCTTCATATTATTCAGTGTTGTTTCATTCTGGACAAATCCTCAGGTAAGACGACAAAGCAACGATCACAGTGTCTGTAACAGAAAAGAGATCATTTGCAACAATTCTCCCTAAAAGTGCTTCAAGAAAACTCAAAAGTTGAAACAAAGTTAAAATAAAACAACTTAAGGAAAAAATTACTATTGGGTAAATGTGCAATACAAAGATATACATATAAACCAATATAAAATAACTAGACATGAATACAAGCTCGTTGTTGAATTAGATTTTATCTAAAAAAAAGGTCATTTTGTAGTAAACTTTAGATGAGCGGTTTGTCCAGAATCTTTGCTTCTTTCAGAGAACAAAATATGTTTTACAAAAACTGGTACAAAAAAGGTGGAAAAACAAATCAGATTAAACAGTTAAGTAGAAACTTTCTGTACGGATGCAAAAAAATGCCATGTTCTGAAAATGTAGCGTTGGTGGCTTTTAATCAACAATCTGTCAGGCTCAGTTGTAAAGACTCAGATTCAGTCGTACATTTGGTTTGATTGAGGCTCTTTCAGTGTGTTGTCTAAACTGAAAGATGCCCACAGCTGACTCTGGAAAGATAAATTATTTTAAAAAGTAATACATGTTACAATAAAATAATACATGGGAACATAATGGCATGTAACTTAAAACATCCTATTCAGAAAGAACAAACTTTAATAAGTATTAATGTGTTACAAACAGGCAGTTTCAGGCGAGGGCTGTTTATCACAGAGATTTGAAAAGATGCTCTAGCTTTCACTTAGAACAAGCTGTTTTAATTCTCACTTGATAAAACTGGATTCATTCTGTAGATCCTGGATTCCAGAGAAGTTTCTGCTCTATCTGGGGGATGTTGTAGAATTAGTGATGGGGCGGGCGGCTTTAGTTTTTTCTTGACGTGACTTGTGGGCGAACTAATGAATCGTGAATGAAGCTGTGGATGGACTCCACTCCCTCTGCCTCCATAAGAGAGCGGTGGTCTCCCTCAATGATGTGGACTGACACGTTTCCATCGCAGACCTGAACAAAGACATGCAAGAAAGAACCTCTTCAGACTTCAAACACTGGAGAGAACATCAAGATCTGACTGACACGAACTCATGGAAAGTGAGCAGAACTCAAGACAATGTACTCAAAGCAACAATAATTGGGCTGAAAACAAACAATATTTTAAAGATTGAAACACTATCTTTCTCTGTATGGCCAATGTTTACATTTATGACAGGAATCAAAATCTAACAAATAAGTATTTAAAGGAACCTCTTAACTGTGCAGATTTTTTTTTTATTTAAAACTTGCTGTGAGCATAAAGTGTTTTGAGGGTTACGACTTGATGTAAGGAGTAAAGAGTAGATTTGTACTCTTTAAAATAAAAGAGTAATGGACCAGGGACTTAAACCCATGCATTTGAGTGCAGTTGTGTGGTGAACAGATGTCACAGAGGCCCGAAGTTGGAACCACTGGGAGGTGAAGGCACCCAGACTCATCAAGAACCTTCTGGTCCATAAAGGCAGCCAAGAGAAGATCATAATGCTGTGCTGCAGTTGATTACAATATTCTACCACAGAGACTTGAATATGATATTGGGATTACAGAAACCTTGGCTGCGCCTAGAAATTCTGTCCATAAAAGTTATGAACAGAATCGATAACAAAGGGCAACCTTGGCAGAGTCCAACTCTCACCGGGCACGAGCCCGACTTACTGCCGGCAATGTGGACCAGGCTCTGACACCGGTCATACAGGGACCTAACAGCCCGTATCAAAGGGCCTGGTACCCCATACTCCCAGAGTACCTCCCACGGGGTTCCCCGAGGGACGTGGTCAAATGCCTTCTCCAAGTCCACAAAGCATGTGCAAACGGTTGCAACTCCCACGCACCCTCCAGGACCCTGCTGAGCTGGTCCAGTGTTCCACGACCAGGAAGAAAACTGCACTGCTCCTCCTGGATCCGAGGTTCGACTATCCGACGGACTCTCCTCTCCAGAACCCCCGAATAGACCTTACCAGGGAGGCTTAAGAGCATGATCCCCCTGTAGTTGGAACACACTCTACGATCCCCCTTTTTGAATAGGGGGACCACCACCCCGGTCTGCCAATCCGGGGGAACTTCCCCCGATGTCCACGCAATATTGTAAAGTCGTGTAAGCCAACACAACCCTACAATATCCAGAGCCTTAAGGAACTCTGGGCAAATCGCATCCAGCCCTGGGGTCCTGCCACCGAGGAGCTTTTTAACCACCTCGGTGACCTCAGCACCAGAGATTGGAGGGCCCAACCCAAAGTCCCCAGGCTCCGCTTCCTCAGTGGAAGATGTGTCGGTGGGGTTGAAGAGGTCTTCGAAGTATTCTGCCCACCAACCCACCACATCCCGAGTTGAGGTCAGCAGCACACCACCCCCACTATAAACAGTGTTGGTGGTGTACCGCTTCACCCCCCTGAGACGCCAGATGGTGGAACAGAATCGCCTCGAAGCCGTGCGGAAGTCCTTCTCCATGGCCTCTCCGAACTCCTCCCATGCCCTAGTTTTTGCCTCAGCAATCACCCGAGTCGCATGTCGCTTGGACTGCCGGTACCATCAGCTGCTTCCGGGGTCCCACAGGCCAAAAAGTCCCGATAAGACTCCTCCTTCAGCCTGACAGCATCCCTCACCGCCGGTGTCCACTACCGGGTTCGAGGGTTGCCAAAAAAAAAAAAGTCAATATTTTTGGTTTTGAACCAGTTTGACATGACTGTCGACGAGGAAGAGGGCTGGCTCCAGAGGAGGGGGTGTGCCAAAGACACCATCTTAGCACCAACATAACTGACTGGTTTGTTCCACTTTGGAGTAAGCTGGTTGGGGGAAGAATCAGTTTTGTGTTGTATTACCTTGACTGATGAAGCCTTCCGGATGGAAGGTGGAATGTTTCAGCAAAAAAAGAAACTGTCCAGATGACCTGACTGAAAATTGTTGGATTGTATACCTGGATTATTGAGCTTGGACTTTTTTGGTTCTTTAAAAAGACTTCAGCTGATACAAAATGCTGCTGTCAGAGTTTTAATGAGTTACAAAGCTCTCAACAACCTAGCTCCATCTTATATTACAGACCTTGTTGTTCCATATTTTCCTAACGGAGCACTTTGCTCTCAGTCTGCAGGTTTACTTGTAATTCCCAGAGTTTCCAAAAAACAGAATGGGAGGCAGATCTTTCGGTTATCAGGCTCCTCTCTTGTGGAACCAACTTCCAGTTTCTGTCTGTGAAAAAGTGTACAAGTAATAGGGATAACCGCACTCTGGAGAGGATTGTGAAACAAAACCCATTCCAAAATGTGGAGGAGATTCACAAATAGTGGACTGCAGCTGGAGTCAGTGCTTGAAGAACCACCACGCTCAGACGTATGCAAGACGAGGGGTTCAGCTGTCGCATTCCTTGTGTCGAGCCACTCTCGAACAAGAGACAGTGTCAGAAGCATCTCCCCTTGGACTGATGCCGAGTGGTCCAAAGTTCTGTTCTCTGATGAAAGTAAATTTTGCATTTCCTTTGTAAATCAAAGTCCCAGAGTCTGGAGGAAGAGAGGAGAGACACAGAATCCATGTTGCTTGAGGTCCAGTGTCAAGTTTCCACAGTCAGTGATGGTTTGGGGCCATGTCATCTGCTGGTGTTGGTCCACTGTGTTTTCTGAGGTTCAAGGTCAACGCAGCATCTACCAGGAAGTTTTAAAGACTTCATGTTTCCTGCTGCTGAACAACTTTATGGAGATGCAGATTTCATTTTCCAACAGGACTTGTCACCTGCACACAGTGCCGAAGATACCAGCACCTGGTTTAAGGACCATGGTATCCTTGTTCTTAACTGGCCAGCAAACTCTCCTGAACTTAACCCCATAGAAAATCTATGAGTTATTGTGAAGAGGAAGATGTGACACACCAGAGCCAACAATTCAGAAGAGCTGAAGGCCACGATCAGAACAACCTGGACTCTCAGAACACCTGAGCAGAGACACAGACTGATCCACTCCATGACACGACGCATTGATGCAGTGATCCAGACACAAGGAGCAACAACTAAGTACTGATGCTGCACATGATCATACTTTATGTTCATACTTTTCATGTTCATACTTTTCAATTGGCTGACATTTCTAAAAATTCTTTTTTTTAATTGGTTTTAAGTAATATTTAAATTTTCTGAGATATTAAATTTGGGGTTTTCATTAGTTGTCAGTTATAATCAACATCTTGACGGAAGGAGAGGCAGAACAGCTCAGAATGGAAATATCAGCAACCATCTCCAGTGCCAAACTGCCTCCTTCAAACCTCACACCACAGGAAAGGAAAGCTGTAACATCACTCAGCCAGGACCAAAACATCACCATTTTACCAGCTGATAAAGGAAGATGCACAGTAGTCCTCAACACTTCTGATTACCGGGAAAAAATAACTACACTACTGAGCGACCGTAACACCTATGAGACCCTGAAGAGGGACCCAACCAGTGCCTACAAAAAGAAAGTCACAGATTACCTGCAAAAACTTGAAAAGGAGAAAACAATCAATCGATCTTTGTATTATAGATTGTACCCAGGGGAAGCCACTCCCTGTCTTTATGGACTCCCAAAAATACACAAAGAAGGAACACCACTCAGACCCATCGTCAGCAGCATGTACTCAGTGACATACAATATTGCTAAACATCTGGCTGGTATTTTAGCTCCTCTTGTTGGAAACACACCTCATCACATAAAGAACTCCATTGATTTTGCTAACAAAGTTCAACACTTGAAACTAACCCCAGGAGAAACCCTTGTATCGTATGATGTGACTTCTCTTTTCACATGCATACCCATCTCTGAAGCAGTAGAAACCGTCAGAAAACAACTTCTACAAGACAAGGACTTAATCAACAGGACCAACTTCACCCCGGACCAGATCTGCACCCTGTTGGACCTCTGCCTCTCCACCACTTATTTCAAGTTCAATGACAGTTTTTACAGACAGAAGCACGGCTGTGCCATGGGATCTCCAGTGTCACCCATTGTTGCCAATCTCTACATGGAGGAAGTGGAACAGAGAGCCCTAAACTCCTATGAGGGAACTAAGCCAAGCCATTGGTTCCGTTATGTGGATGACACCTGGGTCAAAATCCAAGCCAAGGAAATAGAAGCGTTCACCAGACACATTAACTCGGTCGATAACAACATCAAGTTCACCAGAGAGGATGCAAACGACAACAAGCTGCCTTTTTTGGACTGTTTGGTTCAGATGGAGAAAGAGGACAGCCTCAACATTGAAGTTTACAGGAAACCAACCCACACAGACCAGTATCTTCTGTTTGACTCCCACCATCCACTGGAACACAAACTCTCTGTCATCAGAACTTTACAACATCGGGCCGAATGCGTCCCCACAAGGACAGAAGGGAAGGAAAAGGAACTGAAACACGTTCAAGAAGCTCTTCTAACATGTGGATATCCTAACTGGGCTTTTGTCAAGTCAGTGAGGAAATCTACAAAACACACCAATAAACTGAAAAAGGAGAACAGCAGACATAAAAACATTGTCATCCCTTATGTTGCTGGAGTATCAGAGAAATTCAGAAGGATCTTCAACAAACACAACATCCCAGTACATTTCAAACCCAGCAGGACTCTCAGACAGAGGCTGGTCCACCCTAAAGACAAAACACCCATACACAAACAGAGTGGTGTAGTGTATGCGGTCCAGTGCAGCGAGGACTGTCCAGACCTCTACATTGGAGAAACTAAACAGCCTCTTCACAGACGCATGGCTCAACACAGGAGAGCCAGCTCCACAGGACAAGACTCAGCTGTTCACCTCCATCTCACAGATAAGGGACACTCTTTTGAGGACCAAAATGTGCACATTTTGGACCGAGAACACAGATGGTTTGAGAGGGGGGTGAAGGAAGTAATTTATGTAAAAAGAGAAAAACCATCTCTTAACAGAGGAGGAGGCCTCAGATTTCCACTTTCAAAAACATATAATGCAACTTTAAAACAGATTCCCAGCCGGTTTTCACACCTGATGGGAACAGAGGGGCCTCGACTGTGAATTAGAGGAACAAAGACCTACTGTTTTAGGTTTTAGGTGTGAACTGCCAATCTACATATATGTGTGTGTGTGTGTGTCTTATCTCACTCAGCCTTATAACCTGTATCTCTCACTCTCTGCTCTTTGAATTGAGAAAGCTCCTCGGATGAGGAGCGAAACGTCTTCTGTTACAAATAAAGTCCAGTTGTTTTTGTATTGAACGCTTTTTGAATTCATCATGTCCTGGATGACTGAGAATCTTCACCAGCATATAATCATCAACATTAAAAGAAATAAAGATTTGAAATATATCAGTCTGTGTGTAATGAATGAATATAATCTACAAGTTTCACTTCTTGAATGGAATTACTGAAATAAACTTTTTCATGATATTCTAATTTTATGACCAGTACTTGTATTATTTGGTCTATGGGAGGAAACACGAGGACTCACGGAAAACCCACTGGTGCACAGTTTGCAAAGCTGCAAGTTTTTACATCTTTTTCATTGTTTCTTCATTGAACCCTAAAGAATCTGTGTCTGTAAGCAACAGATGAAGTTATAACTTGACTGTCTTTGGTAAATGTCGATTAAGTCACGGATTAAGTTTTGTTTTGAGGGTGTGTAATATTTTATGAAAATAAAGAGAAATATGTGTATTTTACCTCACTAAGTTTGTAGTCATCTCCCAGGTTTTGCTCAAATTCACTACTGGTTTTGGTCCGCAGTAGCGTAACACTGCCATGGTATTTAGCAGCAGGGACGTAGCCATCAGCTGCTTTTAGCTTGTAGTAAAAAGTGAAGGCTGCAAAGTTAAGAGAGTCACGGCTGATGGTTTTATGACTTGACGAGATGAGGTCCACGGCCACCTCAACACGGGCGTTCAGGTCTGAAAGTGGAAGAAGAGTCTCCAAAATCTGTAGTTAAGAGAAGAAATTTGGAACAGATTACTACTTTACTTACTGTAGTTACTTTTTTCCAGACTTGCACAGGAAACACCGTGGTGTACACACAGAGCTGAGTATTTTCTTATGTCTAATGAAACTCAAATTATAATAATTTTTATAACTTAAAAGAAATTGACAAAAGTTTGTGTAGAGCATAGATAAATCTAAATTATAGTATGATATAGATAAATATAAATCCATTATGTTTAAAGGTCAGTGAGGAAGAGAAGTGAATAATTTATACAGACACACTTTCAACCATTTCAAAGTATTTTCTAGTGTAAATGACTTGTGTTTGTGAGTGTGAGCTTGTTGCAGACGTTAAATACCTTTTTGTAATCAATGTCAATGAACTGCTGGATGAAGGCACACAGGGCCTCAGTTTCAGCCTCTGACTCGTTCCCTGGAGTCAGTTTAGCTCTGTAGCTCTGAAAACAAAAAGTAGTAACTATGTGATGCTTTGAAAAATCTGGATATTTTTACCAACTGCACCATTCATTTATTTAACCTTTATTTCACCAGTCAGATCCCTCTGGGATACAGATCTCCTGCAAGGGAGGCCTGGGCCTGAAGGCAGCCTAAGTTAACATGCATGCTTTTGGTATGTAGGAGGAAACCAAAGTACTCAGAGAAAACCCACACAAACACGGGAAGAACTTGCAAACTCCATCCAGAAAGAAACCAGGTCCACATTTGGACCTGGGATTGAGCCCAGAACCTTCCTGCTGTGAGGCAACAGTGATGCTGACCATCCATGCACCCCTCCATTTTTTAATCTGCTTTTCCTTCCCAGGTCTCAGGGAGCTGGTACTCATCTCCAGCAGGCTGGGGACACCCCTGGACAGGTCTTCAGTCCCTCACAGGGACACATGATGAGGGACAAATGAGACAGTCATTCACACTCTCACACACGTAGGGCCTTCTCTGTAGCAGGACCAGGACTCTGGAACGAGTTACCTCTGCTTGTCAGACTGGCCCCCTCCCTCTCAGTTTTCAAGTCAATTAATGACCAACTTATCAGTTATCTACACTAACAGTTGTAGAAAATGAAGGATTTATCAGCTTGATACTTGCAACCAAGATATAGTTTACCCTCCAGAAGATATTTACTGAATGCAATGATGTGGAGATGGCAAATGTCAATATTTTATTCGTAATACCATACCAATTTATTTATATAGCACTTAAAACAGCAACAAGGCCAACCAAAGTGCTGTACAAAAGAACCAAACATGCACAGCAGACAGGAAAACATAAAATAGAAATACAGATACAAATAGCAGCAGAAGCTAACTAAAATGGCCAACAGAGAAGAGAACAGACCGGACCAAAACAAATCACACCGTGTTAAAGGCAAGAGAATAGAAGTGGGTCTTCAAGCGAGACTTAAAGACAGAGTGTGGGAGCCTGCCGGACACTCAGTGGCAACTCATTCCACAGTCGTGGACCTGCAACAGAGAAAGCCCTGTCACCTCTGAGCTTACGACGGGTTTCTGGGACTGAGAGAAGCATCTGGTCTGCTGACCTCAGAGAGCGCGGTGGGACATATGGCTGCAGAAGATCAGTGAGATAGGATGGGGCGGAACTGTTCAGTGATTTAAAAACATACATGAGAATTTTGAAATGGATCCAAAGGTGAATGGGTAACCAGTGCAGGGAGGCCAAAACTGGCGTGATGTGCTCTCTATAGCCTGTACCAGTTAAAAATCGGGCTGCAGCATTTTGGACCAGTTGTAGACGAGCAATGGAGGACTGACTGATTCCAAACAGAAGTGAATTGCAGTAATCAAGCCTAGATGTTATGAAGGTGTGGATCACTGTCTCGAGGTTCTTTTTGGAGAGTATAGGCTTCAGCTTAGACAGCCGTCTCAGCTGAAAAAAAACAGGATTTGACCATCATGTTTACGTGACTGTTGAGTTTTAAGGACGGGTCCATTATCACCCCCAGATTAGTCACCTTTTGTTTCTCTAGCGGGGCTAGAGAGAAAAGGTCAATGTCATGGTTCATGAGTGAGCCACTGGGATGGAACAGCATGACTTCAGACTTCTTCTCATTGAAGCTTAAGAAGTTTAAAGCCATCCAGTCCCGGATGTCAGCCAGGCAGTCAAGAAGAGGCTGAATAGAGCGTGTGCCTCTGTGCCTCAGGGGGAAGTAAATTTGGCAATCATCGGCATAGAAATGAAAGGGTATGTCGTGTTTGCGGAAGATAGCACCTAGTGGCAGCAGGTATAAAGAAAAGAGAAGGGGACCGAGGATGGACCCCTGCGGTACCCCCCACTGGAGTGCGGTCGATGCCGAACTAAAATCTTTGATATTGACACAGAAGGTTCTGTCAGAGAGGTAGGACCCAAACCATTTAAGGGCTGACCCTGTGATGCCCACCCACTGCTCCAGTCTAGAAATGAGGATATTGTGGTCGATAGTGTCAAAAGCAGATGTAAGGTCCAATAGGACAAGCAGCACAGTAATATAACATAGATGACAGATCAAAAGTTTAATCCAAGTAAATGTAACATTTTAAAGGAAAAATGTGTTGATTCAAAATTTCACATTGTCAACAAATCCCCAAAAAGTTGGGACAAGTAGCAATAAGTGGCTGGAAAAAGGAAATTGA